CAAGGGTGACCAGATTATGCAGTTGACAGCCAGCTCAAAGAATTTGGTCAGTCACCAAACGCACATTCTCCGCCGCATCTCTTTTTCTCACATGCCGAACATCTTCCATCCCTGTACCTACGATGAAAGGATGAAATTCTGTGAACTCTACATCTGTGGAGTCCTCAAAAATAAACTTATCCAAATTTTACTACTATGTAAGAAATGAACATATTGTACATCACTTTGTTTTAACCATAAACTCTGTACTTTGACTTTACCTCGGGTTTTGAATAAATATATAGTTCTGACTCCGACTCTCCGTCTTCTCCACCGTCTCAACTGCCGTCGATCAATTTTTAATCACCTGCTTTCTATCTCAAATTTTTGCAGGAGCACCGTAGTTTCTTCCTACGTACTTTGGTCGACCTCCGGAAACGTCAACATTGGAGAATTAGTACTGGAGCAGTCTTCCCGCAGCGCCTCCGGAGTCCATTACGTTTATTGTGGATTTTGGATCTTTGTAAACCCAAGTAACCAAACTTTAATACATTCTTCCCGTAACTAAACTGATTTGGTACTTTATTTTCTACTTGAATTTGGGTAACTAAGCTAACAGAGTAAAAGGTCCACCACACATCAAACTGTATCTACAAGTTCACCTGCAGCTGCGGTAACACCTATATAGGTACAACCAACAGAATGTTCCACTGTCGCGGTCGAAAAGAACATGTTCCAGAATGGTTACTAAATCATATAGAAATTCCCAGTGAGATTATTCTGAATAGAAATCCAGCATCATCCATCGCAAAACACTTATTAATGTCAGGTCGCAAAATCAGTATTAATGAGTATTTCATCATTATTTCACATAACTCTAATTCAAGGTTATTGAAGGTGATGGAAGCACTTTCGGGGGTTAATCACATACAGCCTAAACTGTGTGTACAAAAAACAACAGACTTTAATCTTCGCCTACCATGGACAACATGACCTATTTAAAAATGATTGGTCATTAGTATGTACTTTTGTTTTTTATATAACTGAGTAATTGTCATGAACTTTATTTTGTTTTATTATTGTTAACCATGTTAGTTGTAAAGCGGTTGTAAAGAAACTACGAGATGATATCATCTCGCGAAATTTGTCTTCTAAATGCCCTTATTCAAATTTATCAAAGGGACTAATTGTTTTAATTTTCTTAAAAAACTTCTGACAGTGTAAGGCATATTGCTGAGACGCTCGCAACACGCATAGCATTACTTCCCTTAGATTCGTAATCCTAAGAGAGAACAACTGTAAATTAGACGTAGGTGAACTGTTTACTGACTGTTGAGATAGACCACCGCTTTCTTACGATCGCTGTGACAATTCACTGGAGAGTAATTGTAATTAATTGGTTTTTCAAGTGTTGGTTTGTAGGTTTTTGTTAAAAAATTAGGAGGTTTAATTTTGTATTGATTATATTCCCATACGCCTTATGCATTAAGTATTTCTGTGTTCACACTTACCATGTTTGACTGAATGTATTAGTGAAAATACCGTAGACATGTTTTACGAGGCTTTCAAGACGAAATCTATGCCTTTAGTAGCATTTGTATGACTTCAGACTTGTTTCTTCACCAGAAGAGCTGAAATTACATCTGATCACCAGTAAGACACTATAGTTTGCCACAAATTGTTATATAGTCTAATATTTTTCCATTTTTACTACTGTTATGTATCCGGGATTGGCACACACTGCCACAACTCTTACCATTTGCCTAAGATCTGTCTATTTTGACCACTGTTTAAACACATTCTTCGCCGCTTGGTGTCATAATGCTGGGAGTGCAGCTATGCCTGACTTCCACAGTATTTAAAATCCAAGGGAATATACACAAACAAACTGAGGGAGTTGCCATGGGGTCACCAATATGCCCGGTTGTGGCAGCTGTATTCATCGATGGGTGGGAAAACTTAGCTATTGAAACGTTCAGCCCCACCCCAAAAGTATGGTGGAGATATGTAGGTGACCTGTATTTAGAACACAGGATATAAATAGATTTTTAGAGTACATCAACGCATAGGTGGAGGCAATTCAATTCGCCTATGAATTGGAAAGTCAGGAAGGGGAGCTTCCAATGTTCAATTGTAACGTGAAAAGGAAGGAAGATGGGAAGTTAAACACTAGTGTTTACAAGAAACCCACACATTCAAACAGCTACTTGGATTTCCAATCATCTCATACTATGTCAGTAAAAATTGGATTGGTGAAATGTTTAAGTATTAGAACACAAAAACTAAGTAGCACCAAGGGAAATCTAAAACAGGAAGTGAGGCATGCACGGGAAGCTTTGAAACTCAATAATTACCCTGATAAATTAATCAGGAAGTATTTAGGAAAATGCGAAAATAAAATTAATAATAATAGTGATAATATTAATTATGCACAGGATAATGACGACACCAATAACAGGGAATATAAATCATCAGCAGTACTTCCATACAAGGAAGGAACCTCGGAAACCTTACGGAGAATTAGCATTGATGCAGGGATAAAAATGGCATTCAACCCCCCCCCCAAAAAACTCAATTAGAAGCAAGCTTTGTCGGTCAAAGGACCCTGCACAGCGGCCAACTAAACAAAACAGTTTAGCTCACGTAATACCCTGCAGTGATTGTTAGGTCAAAGTAGTAGAATGAGGTCAGTCAGACTAGCGGAGCAGCACAGAAACCTAGCGAAATCTAGATTAGTTGACGTGAAAATAAGATAAGAAATCTGTAGTATAGTTCAGCTATACCATGCCACGCACTACATGCAATCACACACAACCATGCAATAGGATAAGATGACAGTTTTAAAATCTAATGTCGCGGGGTGGAGGGAGAAATTTATAACAGAAGCTTTGTATATCGAACCAACTGCAAACAGGTGTAATAGGAATGATTCAACACCTGTCCAGTCGGATATCTGTAAAATTCTACTACCCTAACGACGACAAATAGAAGAGAACAAAGAAAACTATGAGACGGAAGTTTCGAAGTCGTGTGATTATAATTGATGAAATGATTATGAACAATAAATTGTGCTCGAAACTTTATCATCCAGTAAATACTAATACTGTTTCACTGAGATATATCTAATAAACAGATTGATATGGAATTACTTAATTACCACCGTGCCCAAGTTTTACACATGCATTATCATTCTTCGCCTATTTTTATCAGACTGGAAATAGCAATATCTAATGTATTTAACCAGAAAACTAACATTGGAATTTTCACCCAAACTTACAATAATGTTGAAGTACACATCGCCAATTTCTGAACTAACCGCTGTGTTTCTATAATGAGTAAATCCAGCAATGACTTGATATTCTGTAAAAATAAACCACTCTGTACTGTTTTCCCGCATCACCAGTACATACTAGGTTTCTTTTAAGGCAAGGGAAAAGCCTCCATCACCAAAAGTCACATCTGTTTCTAAGAGAAATCTCTCTCTTCATTAACCTGGAGTTCAAAGGTGACATCGAAGCAGAAATTCTTAGAAACCGCCTTTCTAAATTTTCGAAGAAAACATTTCAAGCAGCCACCTTACCTATCACATTCTCCTGCAGACAGTTAATCTAGTCTAACGCTAAGGATAAGATACCGCTTTTGGCCACCTCAATGTGCATTTATCAATTTACTTACTCGTGTGGAGCAAAGTATATCGGCTTACGCAAAGTTAAGTCCACAAACGTATTCTGGAACACTGTCCATCTTGGCTAGCCAGAGGAGAAAAGAAGAATAGCAGCAGCTCTATCCTCGAACACCTTGTCATCTCCGGACATCGAGCACCTCCACATGAATGCTTTACAGTGCTACACAGAGTCTCTCAATATCGTACGAAAGGACTTCAAATACGCCATCTGTACATAGCTGAATCATTGGTTATTCCGGATCTGAAGCCTTACCTCTGCATTCAAAAGCCCCACATACATTCCCTCACTCTACCGTGGCCGGAGTGACGTCCTCACTATAATTTCGCTTCCTCATATTATTTAAGTTAACTATTATTATTATTCCCATCATCCTTATTTCATTATCACTCTACTAATGTCTATTAAAAACATTGCATTTTCATACAGATTTTATATAAAAACACTATCTACACAACTATATTGATCAGTCATTTTCTCACACTTACTACGTTATGCCAACTTTTGCCCCATTTCCACTTGGTCAACCCAGCTACGTGGGCAGCTGTAGACTTCCTGACTGGTTAGGGTCCTCAAGATGATAAGAACCAATGAAGGCTGGAGAGAATTAGTGATATAGCCCAAAATTCTCGTTCTCAATGGTCTGATGCAGACGCATTCATTTTTTGTGATTTATAATATCCAATAAAACTCTATTATTCTTCTTCCATATATTACTATTCCTTTTCCCTCACTCACACTTCTGTCTATCATCTCTCTTTACTCCGTTCTCTTGCTTTGTGTGTTACACGGACAGTAGTGGCCCTGTGGAACTACTGCACTTCTGTGCAAATTTCTATGTTAAAGTCAGTCAGTGATGCGAGAAAATGCTCAATAGACAGGCTACAATGCTTAAAATGTAACTCCTTATTTTTGCATTACTGAATAGTGAAAAGCACAGGGTGTGTGAACCCCGCGATGTTAATTAAACAAAGGTATGCTTATGTGGATATATTACACGAATGGAATAATAATAATAATTATTATTATAATTACAGTCCAATGAATTCTCTCACCAGTAAAGCGTAAATACTGATCCATCCTAAGAGTCATACTTATTGAGCCTGCCTGTGCTGAAGATCATTAAGCTCCGGTATATAAATATGTAGAACATTTATAAGACTTGTAAAACTTTCCATTTCTCACTGTCTTCCACCAACTCACTTTCTTCAAGTAGACAATCAACCTAGGCTCATTTAAAACATTGAACTTCGATTCTTAGAAATAAAAATAGAAAGCAGGTCAAAAACAAGTTAGGGATATATGTTTTTATTATTGTTGAATAGAGAAACAGATAAGGTTTTATAAAAAAAAGACTCGATTAACACACAAGACGGTGGGATTTGTAGTATGTTCTATCTGGTGAATTACCTAAGAGAATGTCAAATCTCCTGATCATTTTCTTCATTTCTCGAATAGTCATATTCGGATACTGTCGGTTAAGACGCGCAATACGACTTCGAAGGCGTTCATACACATTACGGAAATTACTAGTTGCACTAGGGGGGATATTCTCCTTGATTCTGCTCCGTAGATTTCTCACATCATCATCACCGAATAAGACTTTATCGAACCTCTGATTTGTCAAATTCATAATTTTTTCTTGCACATTAGCATTCCTTTCAATCAATGGCTGTACAACAACACGCACCTTATCATCTTCTGATAATCTACGTCTTGATAAGCCAGCTGCAATAAATTCTTCAGTGCATGGATGGTTGTGCACAGTTTTGTACAGTGTAATCCTATATTTATTCTTTGTGTAACTGACTGCTATTTGGGATCTACAGCCAATACTTTTACTCCTTTAACTATTATAATTCTACATACATACAGACAATTTACCCTCTGTTCCTCAATCCACAACCTCTAGAGACACGTTCGCCGCCAAAAGTGCACTCATATTTTACATATTTATATTTTATTGGGCCAGATTTGTCGAATGAGAGACTTGACGCTATCCGATATGAGGTATTTGACTCCTGAGGCAAAAAAAAGAAAAAAAGTAATGAAATGATTATTTCTTACCTTCATGAATTCATTAAAAGCTTGTTGAAATTTATCCCAGGTGTAAAAGGAACACGAAAGCATAATACGTTGGAATATGTAACCAACATCACAAAATACAGATTCCTCATCGTGTGAAGTTGACGCTGCAGCCACATTTTCAGGCATCATCTAATTATTATTATTACATTAAATGAGTTATTAAGCAAATCAGTCATAAGATAAAAGCTATTATTGAACACAATGCAGTGAATTGAAGGAAAAGAAAAAAAGAGGACTTATTTACGTGTTTATACATCACTGTCACCAGAAGTGGGAATTCGCTAACTGGCAAGAGTAAAGAATAGATACTACACCTAGACAGTCTTGACCCAACCAATCAGATCGCTCACCATTAGAAAACAATACTTTCCATGATTTTCGTCGTAAGTTTCACCCTGATTTAGTGTCTTAAGGTTGAGGTTAGTGTAAAGTAAAAGTAGGGTATGGTTAGGTTTAGATTAGGGTCAGAGTCGAGATAAGGCTGGGGTTACCAGTTAAGACTAGAATGAAACTTGGCGAAGACTATGGACAGTGTGTACTTGTAATGTTGTGCATTATGACCGTCATCGCAAGGTTGCATTCCTCATAAAGTCAGTCATTTATTAGGATTAGTCGATCTTAAAACTGGTCTGTTTGTTTTCAACATAGAACTTTGCACCGATGTGCAGTAGTTTGAGTCGTCACACTCCATGTAGCAACATAAAGCAAGAGAAGTAGAAGAAATGCAAAATAGGGACAGTAGACAGGTATATGAGACAAAAGGAATAGTAATAACGAAGAATGATAAAGTTTCATTGGAAATTATAAGTCACAAGGAGTGGATGCATCTGCTCCATTGAGAACGATTTTGAGCCATATCACCGATTGTCTAAAGCCATTGGTTCTTACCGTCCCGAGGACCTCAACCAGTCAGGAAGTCTATGCCTTCCTACATGGAAATACGGGGGAAGTCTAGGATAAATAATGGTTGAAATGGGAAAAAATTGGTTATATAATGGGAGTAGTGGTTGAATACTGGAAGGTACTGGTTAACTTTTAGTGAAATATTGGCTACGCCATAGGTATATATTGGCTCAGTAATGGTAAAATCTTGGTTAAATGATAGTCACGGCCGTAAGATTTTGACTAAAGTTTCGTCAAGATAAAGAAATCATGTAATATAACCAGAAGTCATCCATTCCTTTCTTACGACTGGTCATGCCCTCTACTCATTTACTTTTGACCGATTAGGTATTATGTATCATTCACCTAGTTATCTATGAAGTTTCTATTAGCTCAAGATACCTAAAAGATGGTGAAAAATAGGTGCAAAACCCAAATACGAAGTTTAACTCGACTGACTGTGATACTGTCACACATGTGTAATCCTCCCCACCATACTACGACGCCACCACAGTATACGGTCGGCAGATGTCTCACGAACTACTGTTTAGACAGACATCTCGAGCTAATTCTAAACTACACGTCGATGAAGCGGTTTAATGAGGAAGGAATAGTGTCCTTAAAAAATCCTAGTATGTACTGAAGTAATGTGGGTAGTGCTTAAGATTGCTCTGGACACTGAGCTAAGGTAGAGTATGCTGAAACATTGCTGGTTGGCGCTGAATAGAGCCAGGAGTGATTTTTAAATTTTGGTTATAGCTTGATTCCATAGCATATTTTTGGTACAAGTATGGAATTTTTAGCATGTGATATCGGTAGGCCAAATTTCGCAGGCCGACCATGGATAATAGGTGTGCGTCGGCAGGGCGTCGAATCCCGGAACATGTGTATGGTCGGCGAGAGTCCTAACCGCTGACACACTAACTCTGTGGAAAAATAGGAAGTTGGCACTGAACTAATGTGCGCAGTGCCGAAAATAGCGCAAACTTCAGTCATTTTGCAATTACTTCAGGATTTACTCATCACTTAAGTAAAAAGGTCTTAGTGTGGAATTTGCGAGCACAACTCCAACGTTATTGTTAGGATGGATTTTAACATTTTAACGCTATGTTCATTTAAATAATAAAAATTGGCCACTGACCCGAATGCATTGACTCACCTCCTATAACTTCAAATGCAATAACAGTCGGTACCGAATATGCCACTGTCTTCATGATCGTAACACAAAGTTGTATACGAAAATCGCTATAAACAGATTTTGATTGGCTGCCGTCTAGTCGGCCTCCTATTGGTCTAAAATATAAGTCAAAATGGTAAGCTTCAATTTTCACAAGGAAAGTACAAGTAGTCAGGTTAAAGACGGGATAGGATAGAGGCACAAATCAGCTGATTGCTGCAGTTTTAAGGTGTTACCGTGGCGTTGTGTTTTGGCTATTCTACGTTGTTTTTAGTGGTTTTTCGACAGAAATGGACTTTAAAAGTCGCATTTTAACGAAAAAAAAGTGAGAAAAGTGGTCTTTTTCAATGTGTTTACAAAATGCTCTCTTTTTATGGAATTGACATACTGAGGTGCATAAGAAATGTCAGAATTTGTTGGAAAGTGTCAATTATGATATAAAATGCAAAATAACTCCAATTGTTTCAGTGTATTTTACGTAAATGATTAGGAGAGAGTTAAATATCTAGGTAATTATGATTTCATTATGTTTACAAAATTTCACAGTAATAAAGGAAACTGAGTTGGTAATTTCGTCAGATAACGGTGAATAAAGTCATTTAACTGGTAGGTACTGTGTTTCAAGTTATTTATTTCGCCCATCATTTCCTGACTGAATTTTTGTCATTTTTAATTTCCAGGTTGTGGTCTTCAATTCCGCAATCACTCAATACATTTAGGCATTCCAGTGGGGTTAAAAAAGATAATATTTGTGTAATTGATGAAATATTTGTGATATTATGAATGTATTTGTCGAAATAAATATTGTTTTAAAAATTTTGCACCTTATTCGTACACTAGTAATACTTACTGTTTGTCAAGTTGCAAAGTGATGCTAGCGTAGAAGACATAATATTGGTAAAGTGCAACATTTACACCTGGTTGAATTTAGACACGGTGGGGGTACTGTTATCGCTTTCGCTAGTAAACCCTAAACAGGTGATATGCACAACAAAAGCCTATCTAATGGGTTACAGTATTTTATAACAAAGTAATCAATCAAATTTAGTGACGTAATCAGCTAATGCACGAGTTTGAGTGTTAATGTGATCGTGTAAGAGCCTATTGATACGAAATGATAGCACAAGAAGAGTAATGTAGTTATCTCTTTATAACGCAATGATTTCCTTTGAGGTAGTGGTGTTAAACGCAACATAAGAATAGCAGACTATTTGTGATAAATAGGATATACGTCGCATAGTGCGCATGAAGTGCCTAGACTACCACTACAAGTCGTGTACGTATAGAACCTATATTTGGTAGGTTGTTTCGTTATTACACATGTTTGGCGGCTACTTTCTTAACAATCGCGAATACCAATATTATGCGCAACTGAAACACTTTACGCAAGGCTTGATGATGCATTGAGGAAATAGTAATATTTTAAGACTGACGCATTTCACATAAGTATTAATACGTTGCCTACCATATTCTCGTTAACTCTGCAATGTCCTCAAAATGATAAGTGAAAGAGACAAAGTTAGTCGACATAAATGCATGTATTTGTAAGGAAAAAATAATCAATCAAGTTAAAAACGGCTCAGAATGAAAGAGTACATAACTACACTAAAGAGAGTTAATAACAATCCAGTGAAAAAATCACAGTTGTAGAGTTTTTTTAAAGCTGCATCGTAGTCATCATAAAGTCCACCAAACACTCTATCCACGACATCTGTATCAGTTTGCCTCCGTTGCTAGTGGTGTTGAACCAGTCTTTGCAGTTTTCGTCACCACCAGATCCGTTCGCAGATCTCTGCTTGCAAGCAGAGATTGACATTGTATTCCTTCGAATGCCTTCACCCATATTGAGAAAAGTCTGAGGATTTATACATATCAGGTAAATTAATCTTACCTCTGGTGAACAATTCCTAATCTTAGCCACACTGATTATGTGAACAAAGCAAGGAACAACGACAGAGTTGGTGAAATTCTATAGATTACTCGTCCATATATTCCACGATATATTTCAGGAATTGTGTAACTTCCAAACCACCTGTCACATTTTCTCTTCTATACAAAGCAAACATTATACACGTGACTCTTATCCATCCGTTACAATTAACTGAGAGATAAAATCTTCAAACTTTATACTTCTTTGATTAAGTCACCCAGTAATATTCTCCTTGTAAGTGGATCTAATGCTTCTCACATCACCACTTGGTCCCTTAAGCTAGAAAATATAATGTCTATCCGCTTTTATTATTGCTATTTCAAAGCCCTTTTCAGTAACGTAAGTCACGTATTAGCCGCAAGTTTACGCAAAGGAAAATCTACCAATCACAGCTTTCATAAGTGACCTTCAAGTGCTCAGCCTCTCCATAAGCCATTTGTGCCGCTATCCTTTCTCACTTATGCATTTTCGCTTACTAGGGGAATATTAATTATACTACAATTTACTAGGTCACGACAGTATACAAGCACTGAAATATGTACCACTGTTCATTTACTTGAAATCATTGTGTTCTGTTAGTTAAGCATTGTTAAAACCATTACATGGCGTTAAGAAATACCCTTACTGCCTGTACTTCACGAAATGTGTCATCTATATTGTCTGATTTAACGGCTATATTCCAAAGAAGGCGAAGTTCAACAATAGCGTCCCAGGAGTGTGAACGCTCCAGTGACCTTGAAAGCAAGTTAGACAATGGCCAACGGCATCTGTCACTACCACAGCTGAAATATTAACGCTGTTCACCCACTTAGGGGTAAATTTCACCCAGATCACGTTTTTAAGTACTGTTTGGACAATGTGTTAATAGCTCGTTAGAGTTAGGATCAGAGTTATAATTAGCATTAAGGTTAGAATTACGGTTTGAATAAGGGTTATGATTAAGGTTAGGATTAAAGTTAGGTTTAGTGTTAGGGTCGGGATTAAGCTTATGGTTACTATTAGGGATAAATTTATAATTGTGTATTTTATACGTGGGTGCAATTTAAGCAGGATTTGGATACATTTATGAAGGTTATAACTAAGTTGTTCATTATTTCTTTGAAAAGGAATCGAACACATCCTACTGGGTTGCTTCAAGTAAAAAAGACCCATTCGGCCGTATGTAACATGAGTATGTTATCTATGAATACGCTTTTTGGGGTAAACGTGCTTCCAAAGGTGCTGGCTTGGGGTACCAAGGGCGATCTTAAATGCACCGACAATATTTGAAAGGTAGGGCAGTACCCAGTAAAACCTATGATAAGAATTAGTCTGTTTTTCGTTATGAATCTCCCTTAACATACCAGATTGTGAACCCTGAAGTACTGATTTTTTAGTTTTTGTCTATTTTGCCTAAAATACAAAGCTACTGAACTCGATTGTTTCTACGTTTTAGACTACAGAATTTAGTCGTCTGTCTTAATACATGAGAACATTTAATAAGGAAAATGCCTTGACACCTTATTATGTGTTCCGATTATTTAATTTCTGTATGGGTAGTTAGTCACTTCGGGGGGTGCTGAAACTTCCTGTTTGTTGAACTAGTTTCTTCATTTTCCAAATTACAAGGTCCTCTGAGTATCAGCAGGCATTTAGGCAGTTTTTTCTATAAGCCACCCGAATGTTCTTTGCTAGCTAAGCAATTCATTGCCAGCGCTGTATGACATATCGAACTCCGAAACCCAGCATTGTTGTGAACTTGTTTTCAAGGGAAATATTTAATTAGTGTAAGATTCCGATTTCATAAACATAACTTTAGCTGGTACATGAAGCAGAGTTATTATATTAGTTGAGGTAATGAAAAGTTGTTGAGAGGGTAAGAAAGTCTTTAATTCTCAGTTTATTCGTACAAATACTGCTGCGCTTCGAGTCGCACTGCAACTCCACATGAAGTAAAAGGTCATGAGTGCTTTGTTCCTCTCTTCAGTATAAGTTGGTAACACAGGAATTACTTCACAAGATTTTCGATATGAAGTTCATTAAGAATGAAAAGAGGTTTTTCCTTTTCAGTGGTAGAAGAGTGAAGTGGTGAAATGTGTATGCCCCTGTAGTATTACAGTTCCCATGGAAAATTCACTGTCAAATCAAAAGTGAATATGTTTTATTAAACCCTATGCACTTCCTCTATACATGTGATGTTCGTCAAATGGTCATCTAACAACTGCTGAATGTTGCAACCAAGATAAATCTATTATTCGTAATTCCAAGTATTATATTCATTTCTATTGACAGCAGTTCACAATCTGTTGACACGACCACAGTATCCATTCCTCACCTTGCTAATAAGAGATTAACTGGGTGTTTTAGAAAAGTGGTGCGTCTTTTTGCGCACTTCATGATTTATACAGATTGTATTCTACTTACTTAACACTGAAACTAAACTATTAGGAGACTCATATTTCTAAGGAGGATGTAATGCAAGGTGCATTTCTACAGCCTTCGTCCTTATTTTAGTCCAGTTTCATCATAGATAATGTGTTCACTGTTGTCCGTCACTGACTTCGCGGACGTGCAAGAGAACAGTCTCATCAACTTAAGATACGCTGATGATATTTTCCTCCTAGACTGGTGGACATAGCCATAGAAGGTGTAAGATATGAAGAGACTGCTGAAGTTTTGCTCGTAGGTCTCTCCCCATCTGTCTCCTGTGTTAAGTAGCATAATAGGGTAATATCGGGGATATGCATGTGGGGTTAGGAAAGGAAGGTAAGTCGGCTGATGAGATGGGGAAGTTAAATCAATTAACATGGCTAAGAACGTACTGGGCATGTCGGGCTATCGCCTTCCTTGACGGACAGTGTTAGCCAACACGGGTGGATTGAGGAAAACTAGTGGAGTCCTCAAAAATACACTAATCCAACTTTTACTACTATGTGAGAGATGAACATATTGTACATTAATTTGTTTTAACCAGAATCTCTGTACTTTTGTACTTAACCTTGTGGTTTGAAAGAAATTATAGTTCTGCCTACATCTCTCCGTCTTCTCCACCATCTCAACTGCCATCCACCAATACTAATTACCTACCCTCTATTTCAAAATTTCGCAGG